AATGATAAACACGCTAAAGAAAACTGGAATTTCACCTTTAATTGTTTTTTAATATATAGGGTGAGTCACTAAGCACGTTGTTCTTGATATCCCATCAATTGCCGGGTGGACCCGGGTGGGTTAGGTAGCTTCGTGCTGGCCCGCTACACCCTGGGTCGTGGGTTCGATTCCCGCCCGGCTCTGGGTGTTGTGTATGTCCCCCGTTCCCCTGTAATTGGGCCTCCGGCCTGTTGGGGAACGTAATAAAATAAATAAAATAAAATAAAATAAATAAAATTGCTAGAGGTAGAAAAAAGTCTTAGATTAAAGTTAAACGTTTTTTTCTGTAGGAAAGATTTAACATTATTTTTGAATATACAGAGTGCATTGCACTTTTTTTTTGGTATAAATTAATTCAAAATTTTAATATACGCAGCGTTTAAAAAAATCTTAAACCTCGCAACTTTCAAATATTGACATCTCAGTTTTTTTAATGCAACACCCTGTATTTTACTTTTGCATCTTACTCTAGTTATTTTTCTCTGTTTTTCAATATCTCGGTGTGTCCCTTAAAAAAGTAGAAAATCTCAATAACTACTTATATGGAAAGTCGGGTGACTTATTAGAATAAAATATCAAAATTGTCATAATTTATTTTTTTATAAATACTCTATATATTTAAGACTCTCCCCAAAATATTGTAACACGAAATTTGAAAATTACTTTATTATGATTTTTTTGGGAAATCTTCCATTTATAACAAATTTCGCGGAAATTAAAATAACGTGACAAGGTTTAGTTCTGGTTTTGAAATATCGATTAACTTCTTTCTCATTGATTTTTTTATGATTCTTACAAGCTTATAGCTTTCGACATCAGTTGGCTTTAAGAGGCTCATGGGAATTACTAAATAAACTCATAAAAAATTATTTTATTAATATTCATTATTTCAGAATTGGAACGATATCTTTTAAAATATTTGTCGCATTGTTGCCATTTGTGCTAACTACTCTATGAGAAATCTTTGTGCACGCTAACTGAAAATTATAGCAATGATAAACCTGCTAAAGAAAACTGGAATTTCACCTTTAATTGTTTCTAAATATATAGGGTGAGTCACTAAGCACGCTGTTCTTGATATCCCATCAATTGCTAGAGGTAGAAAAAAGTCTTAGATTAAAGTTAAACGTTTTTTTCTGTAGGAAATATTAAACATTATTCTTGACTATACAGAGTGCATTGCGCTTTTTTTGGTATAAAGTAATTCAAAATTTTAATATACGCAGCGTTTAAAAAATCTTAAACCTCGCAACTTTCAAATATTGACATCTCAGTTTTTTAATGCAACACCCTGTATTTTACTTTTGCATCTTACTCTAGTTATTTTTCTCTGTTTTTCAATATCTCGGTGTGTCCCTTAAAAAAGTAGAAAATCTCAGTAACTACTTATATGGAAAGTCGGGTGACTTATTCGAATAAAATATCAAAATTGTCATAATTTATTTTTTTATAAATACTCTATATATTTAAGACTCTCCCCAAAATATTGTAACACGAAATTTGAAAATTACTTTATTATGATTTTTTTGGGAAATTTTCCATTTATAACAAATTTCATCGAAATTAAAATAACGTGACAACGTTTAGTTCTGGTTTTGAAATATCGATTAACTTCTCTCTCATTGATTTTTTTATGATTCTTACAAGCTTATAGCTTTCGACATCAGTTGGCTTTAAGAGGCTCATGGGAATTACTAAATAAACTCATAAAAAATTATTTTATTAATATTCATTATTTCAGAATTGGAACGATATCTTTTAAAATATTTGTCGCATTGTTGCCATTTGTGCTAACTACTCTATGAGAAATCTTTGTGCACGCTAACTGAAAATTATAGCAATGATAAACCTGCTAAAGAAAACTGGAATTTCACCTTTAATTGTTTCTAAATATATAGGGTGAGTCACTAAGCACGCTGTTCTTGATATCCCATCAATTGCTAGAGGTAGAAAAAAGTCTTAGATTAAAGTTAAACGTTTTTTTCTGTAGGAAAGATTAAACATTATTTTTGACTATACAGAGTGCATTGCGCTTTTTTTGGTATAAAGTAATTCAAAATTTTAATATACGCAGCGTTTAAAAAATCTTAAACCTCGCAACTTTCAAATATTGACATTTCAGTTTTTTTAATGCAACACCCTGTATTTTACTTTTGCATCTTACTCTAGTTATTTTTCTCTGTCTTTCAATATCTCGGTGTGTCCCTTAAAAAAGTAGAAAATCTCAATAACTACTACCTATATGGAAGGTCGGGTGTCCGATTCGAATAAAATATCAAAATTGTCATAATTTATTTTTTTATAAATACTCTATATATTTAAGACTCTCCACCAGATATTGTAATACGAAATTTGAAAATAACGTTATTATGATTTTTTTGGGAAATTTTCCATTGATAATAAATTTAATGGACATTGAAGGGACGTGACAACGTTTAGTTCCGGTTTTGAAATATCGATTAACTTCTTTCTCATTGATTTTTTTATGATTTTTACAAGCTTATAGCTTTCGACATCAGTTGGCTTTAAGAGGCTCATGGGAATTACTAAATAAACTCATAAAAAATTGTTTTATTAATATTCATTATTTCAGAACTGGAACGATATATTTTAAAATATTTGTCGCATTGTTGCCATTTGTGCTAAGTACTTTATGAGAAATCTTTGTGCACGCTAACTGAAAATTATAGCAATGATAATCCCGCTAAAGAAAGCTCGAATTTCACCTTTACTTGTTTCTTAATATATAGGGTGAGTCACTAAGCACGTTGTTCTTGATATCCCATCAATTGCTAGAGGTAGAAAAAAGTCTTAGATTAAAGTTAAACGTTTTTTTCTGTAGGAAAGATTAAACATTATTTTTGACTATACAGAGTGCATTGCGCTTTTTTTTTGGTATAAAGTAATTCAAAATTTTAATATACGCAGCGTTTAAAAAAATCTTAAACCTCGCAACTTTCAAATATTGCCATTTCAGTTTTTTTAATGCAACACCCTGTATTTTATTTTTGCATCTTACTCTAGTAGAAAATATCAATAACTACTTATATGGAAAGTCGGGTGTCTTATTCGAATAAAATTTCAAAATTATCATAATTTATTTTTTTATAAATACTCTATATATTTAAGATTTTTCACAAAATCTTGTAACACGAAATTTCAAAATAACGTTATTATGATTTTTTTGGGAAATTCTCCATTTATAACAAATTTCATGGAAATTAAAATAACGTTACAACGTTTAGTTCTGGTTTTGAAATATCGATTAACTTCTTTGTCATCGATATTTTTAGGATTCTTACAAGCTTATAGTTTTCGTCATCAGTTGCCTCTAGGAGACTCATGGTAATTACTAAATAAACCCATAAAAAATTAATTTAATAATGTTCATTATTTCAGAACTGGAACGATATATTTTTAAATATTTGTCGCTCTGTTCACACTATGATAAATTTCTATACACGCTAATCGAAAATCATGATAATGATAAGTCTGAAAGGAAACCGAAAATTCAACACTAATGTTTTTTAATATACAGGGCGAATCACTCACACGATCTGAATTAATTTTTATTAGAGTCAGAAAAATGTCACAGACTAAAATTGTTCGCTTTTTTGAGTATCATACAGTAAAATTATTTTCGACTATACAGAGTGTTTTGATTTGAGCCAATATACACAACTTCGTATTTTTGTTTTAGAATATAAAATAAGCATGGTTGCCTACGCTATTGTACGATGTTCTCTTATTTTTAAATTTCATACACGGTTTCCGGCGTTGTTTTTTTTCGCAGCGAGAAATTTAAATTTCAAATTCAGGACAACACAAGGTTGGTTAAAAAAAAACAACAGACGAACTAGCGAAAATAGAAAATTTACATTTGCGTATTCTAGAAGCTACGAAATACCTTGAAAAAGTAATTTAACTGAAATGCAACTGCTGAATAAATGTATTTGTTTGTAATGTAATTCGAAAATAATTATAATAATAAGTGCAACTAGGGTCACGTTCATTCTAGGTGTATGATCAGCGTAAAATTTTTAATAGCAATATTTTTTAATTTAACTGCATTTTAATAACAATTAGGGACCTCTCTGAATTTAAATTGTTTTAATTAACTCAACCGTGTTTTTAATTATTATTTTAATATAACAGTGCTTTTAAAATTTCACGAATGTTACGTGTGCTTTCAACCGTGTGTTTTCCGTGCAAAATAAAATCGAATATAATTTGTAGAGCAAAGTGCATTTATTTGTCCCGTCAGAAACCTGATGACGTCATTTCAAAAAGTGCTAAATAATTTTTTATCGTTTGAAAAAAGTAAAAGGGCGATGTTTTTTGACGACTATAAGTTTTATATTAAATATCTATAAACTGGCAGATAAAAATAAAAATTAGAAGCGACTGAAAATGTCAAGGAAACTACACAAACAAACTCCCACGCTTTTTTTGTTTGAAAAATAACATCGTGTGCCGAACATCTGTCTTCCCGTCTTTAGTTGTAAAAAATTTTATGTACCTCGGGTGTACCTTTATTCGTACAAATGTTCAACGTCTCAGTTAATTTAATTAGTTGCTATAGCAATTACACTTTGAGAAAAACAAATGTACTTAAACAAAAAATTCCTTCTCTCATTAGCTGCCATCCAACATCTTTAATTATTTCTTGCAACAAACACAACCAAGTCTCACTTATTACTTCGCTCACGCTAAATGTACTTAAAGAGAAATAGCCGCCATAAAGTCATAAATTATCTGCCACGTACTCCACACCGGTTTTTGAAACACCGTATTTTTCACGTCACTCGCTTTAAAGAAAGTCAGTTGACACTAATACCGCACTTAGTCACACAGAGGAAATTGTAGTCACGTTGGTTTTCATAATTTACAAGATTTCTTTTCTGCTGTCGATATAAAAGAAATAGTTCGATGCAGAGGCGCAGTTTCAGACTAAACTGAAAATGCGAAATCTGGCTTGGTTAGCTGTGCTTCTACTACGTTTCGGATTTTCAGGATGCTCGTCGCCGGATTTGGATTTTTTGACGGGGTTTTTCAGGGGAAAGCCGGCGGTGGTCACGAGCTACAACTGCTGGAGCAAAAGTACGTCTGCGATGAGGTCTAAATTTTTTTTATAGAAATATCAACAATAAAAAGAATAGGGTTTATTTCGCCGGCTCGATGTTATACAATTTTTTCGTAACTCTGTCGAACAATAGGTAAAAACGTGGAGTTGGTGAAAAGCCTGGCGAACTCCCCCGACGTCCACTTCTCCGGCTACTACACCGCCCCTCGAGTCGACACCCTCAAAAAATATTCCAACATCGACTACCTCGTTCTGGATTTACGCAACTGCCTCCCTGCCAACCTCATTCTTCTCCAGGTAAAAAAACAATCGCACCTTCGGGCTATTCCAATACAAATTTCAGCTGAACCAAAGCAATACGTTCGTCTACCCTTTGAAGTATCTGCTCCTTATTGATAAACCCGACTTTTCGTCCCTCTCTGCAGAACTCGGTCAATACCAAATCCTGCCAAACTGCGAGCTTGTTATTGCAGTTTTTGACAACGACTCAGCTTTTTTGTACGAAACTTACAAAGTGGGGAAAAAGAGCGAATTAAGTAAGAGCCGGGAGTTCGTTTGTGCATGTCAGAAATGATTATTTCAGCTTGGGAGAATTATGGAAATTGGACGTTGGAAGGTGGTTTGCATGAGCATTATTGGAACGTTCCGACGTCTCAGCGGCGAATGGATTTGAAAGGGGCTAATTTAGTCGTGTGTCTTGTGGTATTTGTCAACGATACTTTGAATCATCTGGATGATTATAAGTGGGTTTGAGGGGCGCTGAGGACGGTGTTATTGGATTTGTTGCAGGGATCCGGGGGTGGATACGTTCACGAAGCAGGATTACGAGTCGACGATGTGTATGCTGCAGCACATGAGGGTTAATCACACTTTTTCGATTGTCGACAATTACGGGTACGTGGATGCGGAGAGTGGGAATTTCAGCGGGCTGGTGAGGGAGATCCAGTCCGGGAGGGCGGATGTTTCAGGTGAGATCCGAATTCCTCATTGACTTACATTTTATTCATGGAAATAACGCTGGCAAATCTGGAAATTTTATGGAATAGTCTCTACAGGTTATTGTAAAAGTTGTTTTAAAATATTCGCTTCAGTGACTTCTAATTAACAAAGAGCGCAACTTTATTCGATTGATTATTATTTTTAAAACATCAAACTTTAAAAGATCGTACTAATTGGATATTTATTTTACATTTAAATGCCAGTTCTGGGATTAATAGGAAAGTTTAATTTCAATACATTTTTACATGGATACATAAAACCCCTTTCGAGGACGAAAACCACTTCTAAACTGCTAAAAGCTCATTGATTTTTGGCTCTTGAGCTTACGCTGTAATAAGTTCTGTTTGAATTTTTTTGTTACCTGTGTTAATTCCCAAATATGGCTGATTCTAGAAATAATATAAGATGCAAGAATTTCGACTTCCAGTTGTTTTTTTACAAATAAAATTTTGAAATAAGACACCCTGTATATTTACTAAATTATTCCAAATGTAAAACATGTTTAAACATATTTCACCTAGGCAAAAAATTACAGGGTGTGGGAAATTGTTGTGATCCCAGAGATATTTTTTTAAAGAATCTCAAAGTATCTTGCGTCCGCTTGAAGGCTCTTGACGCTTTATCCTTGACAAAAATTTGAAAGAATTTCTGGGGTTCCTATGTTTTATTTAAAAAAAAAAATAAAATAAGTAAATGAAAATATGCTGTTTTATTTTTCAACGAATTTCGAGATACTTATAATTTAGTTTTGAAAAAGTCTGAAAGATTCTCGGGGAATTCTGGTGTTTTATTTATTTAAGAATTCTCAAGTAATCTTGAGGTCTCTAATTTTGGTTTTTGGTAGAATTTTATAGAATCTCGTGGATTTCTAGTGTTTTATTCTTAAAAAAAAATTAAAAACCCTGAGAGTTCCGTGTGTTTTATTTTTGAAAGAATCTGAAGTAGTCATCAAATCCTGAGTCATTTATTTTTGAAGAAGCCTGAAGGAATCTTAGAGAACTCTGGTGTTTTATTTTTTAAAGAACCTCAAAGTATCTTGTGTCCTCTTGAAGGCTCTTGACGCTTTATCCTTGACAAAAATTTGAAAGAATTTCTGGGGTTCCTATGTTTTATTGTTAAAAAAAAATAAAATAAGTAAATGGAATAATGCTCTTTTATTTTTGGGCGAATCTCGAGAATCTTATAATTCAGTTTTGAAAAAGTCTGAAGGATTCTCGGGGAATTCCGGAGTTTTATTTATTTAAGAATTCTCATGAAATCTTGTGGTCTCTTATTTTTGTTTTTGGTAGAATTTTATAGAATCTCGTGGATTTCTAGTGTTTTATTATAAAAAAAAAAAAATTAAAAACCCTGAGAGTTCCCTGTGTTTTATTTTTGGAAGAATCTGAAGCAGTCATCAAATGCTGAGTCATTTATTTTTGAAAATGTCTGAAGGAATCTTGGAGAACTTTGGTATTTTATTTTTTAAAGAATCTCAAAGTATCTTGTGTCCTCTTGAAGGCTCTTGACGCTTTATCCTTGACAAAAATTTGAAAGAATTTCTGGGGTTCCTATGTTTTATTGTTAAAAAAAAATAAAATAAGTAAATGAAAATATGCTGTTTTATTTTTCAACGAATTTCGAGATACTTATAATTTAGTTTTGAAAAAGTCTGAAAGATTCTCGGGGAATTCCGGTGTTTTATTTATTTAAGAATTCTCAAGTAATCTTGTGGTCTCTAATTTTGGTTTTTGGTAGAATTTTATAGAATCTCGTGGATTTCTAGTGTTTTATTATTAAACAAAAAAAATAAAATAAGAACCCTGAGAGTTCCGTGTGCTTTATTTTTGAAAGAATCTGAAGCAGTCATCAAATCCTGAGTCATTTATTTTTGAAAAAGTCTGAAGGAATCTTGGAGAACTTTGGAGTTTTATTTTTTAAAGAATCTCAAATTATCTTGTGTCCTCTTGAAGGCTCTTGACGCTTTATCCTTGACAAAAATTTGAAAGAATTTCTGGGGTTCCTATGTTTTATTGTTAAAAAAAAATAAAATAAGTAGATGGAAAAATCCTCTTTTATTTTTGGGCGAATCTCGAGATTCTTATAATTTCGTTTTGAAAAAGTTTGAAGGATTCTCGGGGAATTCCGGTGTTTTATTTATTTAAGAATTCTCAAGAAATCTTGTGGTCTCTTATTTTTGTTTTTGGTAGAATTTTATAGAATCTCGTGGATTTCTAGTGTTTTATTCTTAAAAAAAAATTAATCATCAAATCCTGAGTCATTTATTTTTGAAAAAGTCTGAATCTTAGAGAACTCTGGTGTTTTATTTTTTAAAGAATCTCAAAGTACCTTGCGGCCCTTTGTTTTAGTTTTTTCGGTGAAAAAAATTTGAAGCAATTTCTGGAGTCTCAAATGTTTTATTGTTGAAAAAAATGGAAAGATCCTGAGGCTCCTTGTGTTTTATTTTTGAAATAATTTCGAGGTCCTCACAATTTACTTTTGAAAAAATTTGAAGGATTCCTAGGAATTCTGGTGATTTATTTTTAAGGAATCTCAAGGGATCTTGTGGTCTCTTATTTTTGTTTTTGGTAGAATTTTAAAGAATCTCGTGGGCTTGTAGTGCTTTATTCTTGAAAAAAAATCCTGGAGTTTTTAATATTTTATTGTTAAAAAAAATGGAAAGAGTGTGAGGGTCCTTGTGTTTTATTTTTGAAAAAATCTCGAGGTCCTTACAATTTATTTTTGAAAAAGCCTGAAAGATTTTCCAGGATTTCTGGTATTTTATTTTTAGGAATCTCAAGGAATCTTGTGATTTAATAAAAATTCCTGAAGTCCCTAATGTTTTATTGTTGAAAAAAACATATATGGGAAGATCCTGAGGGTCCTTGTGTTTTATTTTTGAAAGAATCTCGAGGTCCTTACAATTTACTTTTGAAAAAATTTGAAGGATTCCCTAGGAATTCAGGTGTTTTATTTTTAAGGAATCTCAAGCCATCTTGGGCTCCCTTATTTTAGTTTCATTGTTGAAAAAAAAATATGGAAAGATTCCGAGGGTCCTTGGCTTTTATTTTTGAAAGAATCTCGAGGTCCTTACAATTTATTTTTGGAAAAGCCTGAAAGATTTTCCAGGATTTCTAGTATTTTATTTTTAGGAATCTCAAGGAATTTTGTGGTTCCTTGTTTTAGTTTTTGGTAGAATTTTATAAAATTTCGTGGGTTTGTAGTGTTTTATTCTCGAAAAAAAAAACAAAAATCCTGTAGTCCCTAATATGTTATTGTTGAAAAAATATTGGAAATACCCTGAGGGTCCTTGTGTTTTATTTTTGAAAAAGTTTTAAGGATTCCCTAGGAATTCTGGTGATTTATTTTAAGGAATTTCAAGGAATCTTTTGGTCCCTTATTTTTGTTTTTGGTAGAATTTTATAGAATTTCGTGGGCTTGTACTGTTTTATTCTTGAAAAAAAAAAAAAATAAATAAATAAATAAATAAATAAAAATTCCTGAAGTCCCTAATGTTTCATTGTTGAAAAAAAAAATATATGGGAAGATCCTGAGGGTCCTTGTGTTTTATTTTTGAAAGAATCTCGAGGTCCTTACAATTTACTTTTGAAAAAATTTGAAGGAATCCCTAGGAATTCAGGTGTTTTATATTTCAGGAATCTCAAGCTATATTGTGGTCCCTTATTTTAGTTTCATTGTTGAAAAAAATATATGGAAAGATTCCGAGGGTCCTTGTCTTTTATTTTTGAAAGATTCTCGAGGTCCTTACAATTTATTTTTGGAAAAGCCTGAAAGATTTTCCAGGATTTCTAGTATTTTATTTTTAGGAATCTCAAGGAATTTTGTGGTTCCTTGTTTTTGTTTTTGGTAGAATTTTATAAAACTTCGTGGGTTTGTAGTGTTTTATTCTCGAAAAAAACAAAAATCCTGGAGTCCTTAATATGTTATTGTTGAAAAAAAAATTGGAAATATCCTGAGGGTCCTTGTGTTTTATTTTTGCAAGAATCTCGAGGTCCTGACAATTTATTTTTGAAAATGTCTGAAGGATTCTCTAGGAATTCTGGTGATTTATTTTAAGAAATCTCAAGAAATCTTGTGGTCCCTTATTTTTGCTTTTGGTAGAATTTTAAAGAATCTCGAAGGCTCTTGGTGTTTTATCTTTAAATAAAATTTGAAACAATCTTGAAAGTTTCTTGTGTTTTACTTTTAAAAGTATCTGAAGGAATTTCAGGGTGTCCAGGTGTTTCATCTTTGAAAAACCCTAAAAGAATAGCAGGAATTCTGAATTTGAAAGAATTTCAGATTTTCCAGATGTTTTATTTTTGAAAAAGTCTGAAAGAACAGCGGAAACTCTGGTATTTTAATTTTTAAAGAATTTCAAAGAATTACTAAGAATCTTGAGGTCTCCTCTTTTTGTTTTTGGTAGAATTTTAAAGAATCTCGGGGGCTGTTAGTGTTTCATTCTTCAAAAAACAAATGAAAGAATTTTGGGGGTCCTTTGTGATTTATTTTTGAAAAAATCTGAAACCATCTTGAAGTCCCTAGTAATTTATTTTTGAAAAAGTCTGAAGGAATTTTGGAGAACTGTGGTGTTTTATTTTTTTTTTAAATCTCAAAGTATCTTGCGGTCCCTTGTTCTAGTATTTGGTAAAATTTGAAAAATTCTTGAAGACTCTTGATGTTTTGTTCATGAACAAAATTTGAAAGAATCTTGAGAGTTCTGTGTGTTTTATTTTTTAAATAATCTGAAAGAATTTCAGGTCTCCTCTTTTTGATTTTGGTAGAATTTTATAGAATCTCGGGGGCTCCTAGTGTTTTATTCTTGGAAAAAAGTATCTTGCGGAGGCTCTTTGTGTTTTATTTACTTTACTTTTCTTAATATGAAAAGATCCTAGAGGTCTATTGTGTTTTATTTTTGAAAGATTCTGAAAGAATCTGGAGATCGTTAGTGATTTATTAAAAAAAAATACGGAATCTTGGAGAAACCTAATTTTTTATTTTTGTTTTTGGTTGAATTTTATAGAATATTCTGGGCTTCTAGCGTTTTTTCTTCAAAAAAAAAAATACTAAATTAAAAAACCCTGAGAATCCCTTGTGTTTTATTTTTAAAAGAAAATCTGAAATAATGTTAAAATACTTAGTAATTTATTTTTTTCACTAGCAGCCTGGACGCATGCAAATGTCGACTCATTTAGTGGTAACAAATTCAGCTTTTGCTACCACCGGTTCAAAAAGAAAAATTGAGGTTATGTATGGAATCTTTGATGTGATTATTTCTTAAAAAATGAACAAATGTGTGCTACAAACATTACTTGAGTATACGCATGGTAGTTGGTAGACGGTAGAAGATAAAATGATTAACTCAGCGACAAGTGTAAACGGTTTTCTTTGTGTTGAAGATTTAGATCAAGTTTGATTAGAAATCAAAACAAAATCATGTTGCGTCAAAAAATTGAACATTTATTTTTTCAGTTTATTGTCTTATGGTTTCTCCTAGTGAAAAAAATAGTATATTAACCATGGTTGCAAAGCCACTTCTAGACCTCGCGCTTCAGAGCCCTCGACGCTGCGCGTCTCGGGTTCTAATTTGCGCTCGGTCTAGAATGCTTGGCTCTGCAACCTTGGCTAATAATATACTATTTGATAGTCTGTAGGAATTTTCGAGAACTCTTCTGATTTATTTTTTAAAGAACCTCAAAGTATCTTTTTTTAGTTTTTGGTAGAATTTTAAAACAATTCGAAAGTTCTTAGTATTCTATCCTTGAGCAATACATATTTGAAAGAATCTTGGGGGTTTCTTGTGTATTATTTTGGAAAGAATCTGAAAAAGTAGCGGGAACCCTGGTGTTTTAACTTTTAAAAAATTTCAAAGAATTACAAAGAATCTCAAGGTCTCCCGTTTTTATTAGTAGTAGTAGAATAAAAAAAAATCAAGGGGCTATTGTGTTTTATTTTTGAAAGATTCTGAAAAAATCTAGAGACCCTTAGCGATATATTAAAAAAAAATCTGAAGAAATCTCGGGGAAACCTGTTATTTTATTTTTAAGGAATCTCAAAGAATTTTTGGGTCTCCAATTTTTGTTTTTGGCTGAATTTTATAAAATTTCGAAGGTCTCTAGTGTTTTATTAAAAAAAAAAATGAAGGAAAAAAAATGAGGTCTCTTATGTTCCATTTTTGAAACATTTTGAAAGAATCTCAGCGTCCCCAGGTGTTTTATTTTGAAGAAGTTTGAAAGAATCGCGGAAACGACTTCTGTTTTATTTTTTTAAGATTCTCAAAAAATTTTAAGATCTCGTGTTTTTTTTAGAATTTCAGAGAATTTTGCGGTGCCTTGTTTAAGTTTTTGGTAGGATTTTAAAGAATCTCGGGGCTCCTGGATGTTTTATTATTGAAAGTTTTGAAATTATGAATCGACATTGCCAAGTTGTTCCAATTTTTCGGAAAATTTATCTTGATTCACAAAAAATCGCAGTAATGTCATGCGCTTGGTTGTGGAATACACTCAAACAAAATTTTAATATACATGGTGTTCAAAAAAATCTAAGACGTAGCCCCTTTCAAATATTGATATTGCATTCTTTTCTTTATTGCTTATTTATCTCTCCACAAAATTTGTAATACAGATTAACAAAATTGCAGGTATTTAGAAAAACGTGGCAACGTCGCATTAGAATTTTAAAAATAAATTTAGGTTATAAAGCCCAACAAGTCAACCAGAATATGTAAAAATATGTAGGATATTTAACTTGAAAATACAAGTTTTGTGTTACGCACGATAAGCAGAACATCCTGTGTACTTGTATTAAATTTAACATGAGAGAGGCAAATTTTAAATTTTGCAGAAAAAAGTGGTTCTAAATTTGTATGTTCGTTATAGTTTGTAATTATTTTCTTAGGTTGGCAATATACTTAAAATTTTATGACGGCGCACCTGACGTCAAACTCATTGGTTTTAGACGCGTTCAGGTGAACAACTTTGGATTGACATGCTAACACTGCTGCCAATAATTCAGAATTGCCAACCTAAAAATTTACTTTAGTCATTTTTAATAATAACAACGAAGTTATTTCAACAGAAAAAATCCCAAACATCTACTAGGCCACTCTCGATAAACCTTGTTTTTACGACAATAATAGTATTTTTTATAACGATGTTGTGACCATTTAGTGAAATTTACCACATTACTACTAAGTGGAATTTATCATGTCACCGTATGAAAGAACGTGACCTATAATTTCGTCAATTGTGTTCGAACTTTCTATGAACCATTTGTCAACGTAGTTTTTTTTTAATAACCTCATTAAGAACTGACTGGACATCGAACACATGATTGATTAATACCAGATCGAACAAAAATTACAATATCGATGTATTTTTCCAAACATTTAAATCCAAGCCGGCTCCATCTTCTTCACCGCCGACCGCTACGCCGCCGTCGACCTCATCAAGCAAGGCAACCCCCACGCCATCCGCTTCGTGGTCCGCAAGCCCGCCACCTCCTTCATGAAGAACATCTTCTTCATCACCTTCAACACCGGCGTCTGGATCGCCTCCACCGCCATCCTGGCCACGTTCGCGCTCTCCGTCCTCCTCATCCTCAACTGGGAAACCCAACACAAAGAGGTATTCCCACCCCCGTCTTAGCACTTCCACGCAATCTTTTTGCAGAAAGTCAAACAGAACAAGTACAGCGTGAGCGATGTAACTTTAATCGCTCTGGAAGCCGTTTGTCAACAAGGTGAAATGCTCGGGTAAATAAAAATAGGATCTGGAGGAATTTTCGTTGCAGGAACTACAACAGATCCTCAAAGTTTCGCCGGCCGGATCCTTGCTCTGATCCTGTTCGGAGCTTTCATGTTTATTTATGTGTCGTACAGTGCGAATATCGTGGTTTTGTTGCAGTCCACCACGAAAATTAACACGATAGAGGAGCTGGTGGAGAGCCGAATCGAAGTGGGGGGGGAGGAAATTCACTACATGAAGAATTACTTCGAGGTAATTTTGTCCGACTGTACTTTATTTAATACAGTTAAAGAATGAAGCGTCACTGGGGGAAGAAATGTAATAAAAAAATCTCCCTTATGAAATTCGTAATAACGTCTTTACTGAAAATAAAATACGAAATACCTCCCTCAAGAAAAATAAAATATTTTTTTGGATGTATTATTTAATCGCTTTGTTTTTAATCTTCTGTTTCATTGTATCTATTTTTGTTCAGGCGGTGAAAAAAGGTCCTTTGAAGAAGTTGTACGACAGGAAAATTTACCCCAATCAGTATTTTCCGCTGAAAGTGGGAATGGAGAAAGTGCGAAAGGGAAACTTTGCTTTCCATGTGGCGTCTCAGTCGGCGTACGATTACATTTTGCACCACTTTACAAATCATGAAATTTGTGGCCTGCAGGAATTGCCTGGATTTATAGAGGTTTCAGGAACTCCAAAAAATACACCGTTTCATGTGTTTTTTCAGGAAAACTTGGGCTATCTGGCTGTTCCGAAGCGCTCGCCGTACAAGGACTTGTTTAAAGTGGCGTAAGACGGCGCAAATTTCACCTTCAAAGATCCTCATTGTTGTTTCCAGGATTTTGAAAGTGGACGAATACGGACTTCAAAGACGTTCGAACCTTCGCATAGTCATGCAACCCAAGTGTTATTCCCAAGGGGCGTCGTTCGAAACCATCGGGTTCGTGGACTGTGAGAAAGTCCTCTACGTCTGGATTTTTGGCACAATTTCGGCTTTCGTTATTTTGTTGATGGAGAATTTAATTCATCGTTGTGTTAAACGAATCAAGAGGGAGAAATGGGAATTTTCAGATTAAAGTAAAATAATTTTTCTGTTACAGATTTTTAGAAATCACACAACGTCTAACTCGTTACGCGAGCTCATCGTGATTTTCCTGCTAAAAAACACTTTATTGCTTGAATCGGCTTTTTATTTTAACCCCTTTTCAAGGCACGAAATCTTTATTTGAGGAGCAAATAAAATAAGACGGAAAACCCACACAAATAATTAAATATATACAGGAAATCTAAAAATAGATTTGGTTGTTCATAACAGATGAAATGTTTCCAGAGCAATCACATTTATTAATGAAAGCAGTATTTTCTGAACTAATTAATAATAATTCGTTATGAAAGCACAAATAAGTAGATATTGAATTCTGGAATTACCGTTTCAATGACAAAATAAAAATAACTGAGAAAAATCGGCGGTCCGGAAACTTAGGGTTCGCAAAATATCTAAGGGATATTCACCGCTGTTTTTTCTTAATATTTACGAAAACAAAAGCTAAACAAAGTAGAAATTAATCGAGCAAAAACAAGACGCTTTAACCAAAACTAATGCAAAATCGATAATTTATACATCAGCTAATCACAAAATCTTTATAGAAGAACAAATAAAACCCAGTAGTAAAAATAAAAAAAGCTGCGATAAAACATTAACCAACCATAATCCGTTTACTCCCCAATTACTCCATTATTTACAAGCCCCAGATTTAATGAAAACAGTTCCCTTCTTTTATTTGACTTTATTGTGATTAATCATCTCCCTTGTAGTGTATTTTGTTCGTGTTTCCCAACTTGTCAAACAAAGAAACTCCCAAATTTCTTCAAATTAATTAATCCGTCCCCTGTCTTTTTCATTTTCTTCCGCCTGACTAGAGGAGATTATAAAGTCAAAACAAGCCAGAAAAATGCACAGCTCATAATTAGATTAAAACCGGTGGTGGCGTGTTGTCGTCTCCTAAATGACTTTTATTTGATTTATTAACCGAAAATAAGGCAAGCACGGAGTGTAAGTGATATTCCTTGCTCGGTTCCATTAATTTTTGCCGAATCTGTGTTTTGCACTGTCAGATCGACGCTAATGCAAATTTACTTGGGGATATGGATTTTAAAAACAAGAACTGTTTAAATTGAAATGGTGGATTAAATATTCCGAAATTATACAACTCCAGGAGTGGAATTCATAATATTTCCGCTATTTTTGTGCCCGGGGAATTAAACGCGGACGAGAAAGGAGTGCGAGCTGGATGTCGGTTTATCTTATTTAGGAGGGGAAAATTCTAACCTAACCCTGGTTGTTTATTAATAATTCAGTTTGATCAAGTATTATATTTGCAAATGTTGTTGCTTTTATTTATATTTCCGGAACGGAAACTAAGGTAGTGTTGTAATCGAGTCCTTTGGGCGACTGAGTACTTTCATGTTTTTTGACGTTTCATGATCCCTACAGTTTCAAAAATAGGTCTCTTGTTTCCGTCTCTCTGTCTGTCGTCTGTGTCGATTTTTATTAGGCTGATAATATCCGATATGTTTTCTAAATGTTAAAAAATAACCCAAACATCCAGAGTTTTGGACAAAAGAACAAAATTTAATAACAATTTTGCGATTTCTCAATTTTTCAAACACTCGATTTTTCGGGTTTTTGACTTTTCGATTTTTTTTTCAATTTCACGATTTTTCAATTTTATAATTTCTCGATTTTTCAAATTTTCGATTTTTCATTAGTTTTTATTTTTCGATTTCTCGATTTTCTGATATACGGTTTTCAATTTTTTGATTCTTCAATTTTTCGATTTATAAATTTTCCAATTTTTTCAAATAACAATTTTGGCGTTTCTAAGTTTTCGATTTGTCGACTTTTTTGACTTTTGATTTTACATTTTTCGATTCCCTGACTTTCTGATATTTCGATTTGTAGATTTTTCGGTTTCTCAGTTTTTCCATTGTTCAATTTTTCAATTTCTCGATTATTCAGGTTTTTTATTTTTAAATTTTTTAATTTTTTAATTTTTTGGTTTTTCGACTTTCCGATTTTTCGACTTCATGATTTTTCCGTTTTTCGACTTTTTGATGTTTCGAGTTCTCATATTTTTCAATTTTTTGATTCTTTCATTTCTCGATATTTTAATTTTTCGTTTTTTAAATTTTAGATTCTTCGATTTCTTGAGTTTCATTCCACAGGTTTTTCTGTTTTTCAACTTCTCGAATTTTTACATTTTCGACTCTTTAATTTTCGATTTTTCGACTTCTTGGTACTTGTACTTCAATCTTTTGATTTTCGAAATTTTTTTGATTGTTTAATTTTAATTTTTGAATGTTTCGATTTTTTGATGCTTCAATTTCTCGATTTTTCAATTCTCCGAATCTTCAGTTTCTCGATATTTTAAATTTTAGATTTTTCAGTTTTTAGATATTTTGAACATTCCGTTTTTTCAAATTTTCAAATTTTCGATGTTTCGATTTTTTGGGTTTTGATTTTTCGGCTCTGCGATTTTTAGATTTTTTTTATCTTCCAATTCTTCGATGTTTCGATTTTTAAATGTTTTGATATTTTAGTTTTGAAACTTTTCAATCCATCTATTTTTTAATTTTTCGATTTTTCAAGGCCAAATTTAGAAATTTTATATTTTTCTATTTCTCGATTTCTCAAATTTTCGTTTTTCGATTGTACGATTTTTTTGAATTTTTGATTTCCCGATTTTTCAATTTTTTTATGCTTCAGTTGCTCTATATCTTAATCTTTCGATTTCTAAAATATTAGAGTTTACGATTTTACGATTTTCCTGTTTTCAATTTTTGAATTTTTAAATTTTCGGCTTTCGATTTCTCGATTTTTCAATTATTTGATTTTTGAAATTTTAGACTTTCCGATTTAAAATTTTTTCGTTTCGTCAGTTTTTTTAATATTCTCGATATTTTAAATTTTCTATTTTTCGAGTGTTCCGTTTTTTGAATTTTCAACTTTTCAATTTTTCGAATTTTTCAATTTTTTAATGTTTGGATTGTTTCGATTTTTCGACTTCTCGATTTTAGAATTACCACTTTTTCAAATTTTTGATTTAAAAAATTTTTATTTTTCGGTTTTTCGATTTCTCGAGTTCTCGTTTTTTCAATTTTACGATTTATCGAGGTTGCGGAGTTTCGATTTTCTGGTTGTTCAATTTCCTAATTTTTTAGATTTTCATTTTTTCGAATTTTAAATTTTTCAATTTTCATTTTTTCGTTTGGGCTGTTTCGATTTCTCGATTTATCGATTTTTTCATTCTCTTCAGTTTCAGTTTCAAATTTTCGAATTTTTACATTTTCGACTTTCAACTTTTTCGATTTTTCTATTTCTCTTTTAACTTTTTTAATATTTTGATTTTTTGATGCTTCAATTTCTCGATTTTTCAATTCTCCGAATCTTCAGTTTCTCGATATTTTAAATTTGAGATGTTACAGTTTTTAGATATTTTGAACTTTCCGTTTTTTCAAATTTTCAAATTTTCGATGTTTCGATTTTTTGAGTTTTGATTTTTCGGCTCTTCGATTTTTAGATTTTTCTTATCTTCCAATTCTTCGATGTTTCGATTTTTAAATTTTTTGATATTTTAGTTTTGAAACTTTTCAATCCATCTATTTTTTAATTTTTCGATTTTTCAAGGGATAAATTTAGAAATTTTATACTTTTCTATTTCTCGATTTCTCAAATTTTCGTTTTTCGATTGTACAGATTTTTTTGAATTTTTGATTTCCCGATTTTTCATTTTTTTTATTCTTCAGTTGCTCTATATCTTAATCTTTCGATTTCTAAAATATTAGAGTTTAGGATTTTACGTTTTTCCCGTTTTCAATTTTTGAATTTTTAAATTTTCGGCTTTCGATTTCTCGATTTTTCAATTATCTGATTTTTGAAATTTTAGACTCCCCGATTTAAAATTTTTTCGTTTCGTCAGTTTATTTTTAATATTCTCGATATTTTAAATTTTCTATTTTTCGAGTTTTCCGTTTTTTGAATTTTCAACTTTTCAATTTTTCGAATTTTTCAATTTTTTAATGTTTGGATTGTTTCGATTTTTCGACTTCTCGAGTTTAGAATTACCACTTTTTCAAATTTTTTATTTAAAAAATTTTTATTTTTCGGTTTTTCGATTTCTCGAGTTCTCGTTTTTTCAATTTTACGATTTATCGAGGTTGCGGAGTTTCGATTTTCTGGTTGTTCAATTTCCTAATTTTTTAGATTTTCATTTTTTCGAATTTTAAATTTTTCAATTTTCAATTTTTCGTTTGGGCTGTTTCGATTTCTCGATTTATCGATTTTTTCATTCTCTTCAGTTTCAGTTTCAAATTTTCGAATTTTTACATTTTCGACTTTCAACTTTTTCGATTTCTCTATTTCTCTTTTAACTTTTTTAATATTTTGATTTTTTGATGCTTCAATTTCTCGATTTTTCAATTCTCCGAATCTTCAGTTTCTCGATATTTTAAATTTGAGATGTTTCAGTTTTTAGATATTTTGAACTTTCCGTTTTTTCAAATTTTCAAATTTTCGATGTTTCGATTTTTTGAGTTTTGATTTTTCGGCTCTTCGATTTTTAGATTTTTCTTATCTTCCAATTCTTCGATGTTTCGATTTTTAAATTTTTTTATATTTTAGTTTTGAAACTTTTCAATCCATCTATTTTTTAATTTTTCGATTTTTCAAGGGATAAATTTAGAAATTTTATACTTTTCTATTTCTCCATTTCTCAAATTTTCGTTTTTCGATTGTACAGATTTTTTTGAATTTTTGATTTCCCGATTTTTCAATTTTTTTATGCTTCAGTTGCTCTATATCTTAATCTTTCGATTTCTAAAATATTAGAGTTTACGATTTTACGATTTTCCTATTTTCAATTTTTGAATTTTTAAATTTTCGGCTTTCGATTTCTCGATTTTTCAATATTTGATTTTTGAAATTTTAGACTTTCCGATTTAAAATTTTTTCGTTTCGTCAGTTTTTTTTAATATTCTCGATATTTTAAATTTTCTATTTTTCGAGTTTTCCGTTTTT